CCGTTTTACCATTTTATCCTTGCTTGCGATATGTATCGCGTATTCGTTATTGCAAAATCATTTTATTTTGTAAATTACGCTGCTACACAAGACTCAAATTCTCTTTTACCAAGTAGGATTATCAGCTTACCTCTTTACTGGTTTAATAGTTTTTAGAGTTTTGCTTGATGTAATTTAGTTCTTCCTGCTTTTGCGTTATATGTTCGTTCTTTTTCTCAAGACTAAGCTCGGACAAATGCACGTCACTTGCGTTATACACTCTGTGTGAATTCTTCTTTAAAGAGCACTCTGGTTTTTACAATAAAAATCATACATTCTAGAGGCCAAGATCTTTTTTTCCCACTCTCCTATTTTGACCATACTTCCAATAGAGGTCAATTTATACGTCCCACCTCCAATTACCCGGCATCGGCAAACGCAGACTCGCAGCTCACGCCCGACGTGGAGCCCGTCTCGAGCATCCTCTCCTTCCGGCCCTCCTGTCAGGGCCTGACAATTCATACTTGGCTGTGCCTAGATGCCCAAGGCTATCAGGATGGTACAGATGCCACTATGGCATCCTCTATACTCCGGTCGTTTGGGCAGCCAACCGGATTGGCCGGTCGAGGTGTCCATGCTCTGATGAATCCCATTTCGCTGTCAGGTTTGTCTGCTTCGACTGCAAGCTTGGCCACGAGGAGACAAGACGGCTCAGAATTTAGCACCGGCCTTATCGACGCTGGCAGTACGGGCGATCGCGACTTGAGTCCATCCAATAAAGCCATCCTAACTACAGGATCGTCCAATGGTGACCGGCGACGGATGTGCCTGCTCAGGATGCTCTCAGCAGCCGGAAATGGGATAGAGCTGTTTTTTACTCAAAACTGCGATCTTATAGTTGCTGTGGCGACAAGCGGCGAGTTTTCTTGGCTCCAGGTGAATATTAGATGTATTCATCCAATTTTGTTTATGATGATGAGGTGAATGTTAATTTAACCTTCTCAGTCATATGAGAATACTTTACGTTTTCGCTGAATTTTGCATAGCCATGCTTTTCCAAAATGTCACCTCATCCAGACTGAAGTGGACTGCAGCCCCAGCGGGACTCGAACCATGGCAATGCGGCCTATACTCTCGAAGCGTTAACCACTACCCCACATATTGTCACAGTTGGGTTTAGGTAACAGGCAAGATGTGAATTTCAAGGAAGACCAGTCATTTTCCCATATCACATTGTGTTGTGGGGCTGTAGAATAAGCAGAGATCTGTTTACTTCACCAGTTAACTACATAACTTATTTTTTCATTTTTAAGTAGACTTTTGAGACTACCAGTAGATTGTATATCTGAGATGTATTCAGCCTATTTCTTTTTGAATGATAAGGTGCAAATACCAACGATGTCTTCCAATCAAACTCATTGTAAGAGGCAGAGCCATGGGACAGAGCATTGGTTGAATCAGGAAAAGGATTGCCAGTTTCATCTTTTGAGTTTGCATTACCTTTGATCATTGGTTTAGTTACTGGTCAGCCAACACTTGACGTGCTAATTTTGCTCAGGACATGACTCCTTTCTGAGTGGACTGTGGCCACGAGGGATCCTGACTTCGTAGTATAACCATCACAAGTCTGGCTTCTCACGGTACCTAAATTCATATACATCGTCTCTCAGGAATCCGATCTCATTAGCTGCCGTGTAAGGGCAGTTTGCTTCGGGTTTTATTGTACCTTTTGAGTTTCAGACCTGCTTTCTTAAATGGACTGCTATTTAAGATGACAAGCAAAACTGTGATTTTGTCACTTTACCCCCTGACGCTGTTTCCGAGGCAATCTCCTTCGATTCCGGTGAAAAATTGCTAAGCTTCCGTCCGTCATATGACGAACATGCTCAGAGCAAGGTATCATCGTCACAACAAAATTCAAGCTAACGAGTCA